TATATATATACATTAGTAACTCACGCTGTCCCATTCTTCAAAAAAGCGCACTCGTCATCCCTTGAATAGGCCCCTCCCACTGATTAGCATAGACTTTGCATACAGTTTAAAGAAATGAAAACTGAAAAGCGTCAACAAAAGGAAAACTTAAATTTACGTTTTAATTTGAATTGTGTCACTATTATAGCGCTAACGTTAATAACAAGCTTTGTAACTCAAGCAGTCCCATCCATCAAAACCGCGCACTCGACGTCGCTTGAATAGGCCCCTCCCACTGATTAGCATAGGCTTTGCATACAGGGAAAAAAAAAAGAAAACTGAAAAGTGTCAATAAACAAAAAACTTCAATTTACGTTTTAATTTGAATTGTGTCACTATTATAGCGCTAACGTTAATAACAAGCTTTGCAAAAATTGTGCTTGCATTTCATTTTTTTGTTTGGCTTTTTAATTTAATATTGTCAATCTTAACACGAAAATGCAGTGAAAATTCATGGTTAAATCATCAATTTAATTTTATTTATCGATTTGATGGACAATGTGTTGTCACAGTAAAAATGTATTTAATTTTATGTTTTGTTTTATAAAATGCAAACACAATTTTTACAAAGCTTGAACAACCTCATGGAGATTTCGTGTAACTAATGGCTCTATGTCAGAGTTTGTGAGAGCTGTAAAGTGTAGAAGTTTATCCAGTATTGCTTCAACTCCAATCAAAATGAAATCGTGGTTGTCGGATATATCTGAAAACTTGTGTAATTCTGCAGCTACACTGTGTATGACCGCCATTTTTTCTGCAAATTTCAGCACCTCTCACTGATTAGCATAGGCTTTGCATACAGGTTGACGTTAAAAACGAAATCAAAAATGAAAACTGAAAAACCATCAAATAAAAGGAAAACTAAAATATACATTCAAATTTGAATTGTGTCACTATTATAGCGTGAACATTAATAACAAGCTTCGTAAAAATTGTGTTTGCATTTTGACTTTTTATTTTAATATTGTCAGTCTTGACGTAAAAATAAATTGTTAAATCGGCAATTTAATTTTATTTATCAATTTGACGGACAATGTGTTGTCACAATGAAAATGAAAACTAAATCATTTCATTTCATTTTTAATTTTGCCAGATATTTTGCGAACAGTGTTTTATAATGAAAGTGTTAATCTGGTTTTCATTTTAATTTCCAATGTTTATTTGATTTATTTTAAATTGGCAAGAATTACCTTCCATAGGGTACAACTTCTGAGAGAGCAAATAGTGAGTAAAAGTTAACATTTTCGTTTCACAACACCAAAAAAAGAGTTAAAGACCATCCCAATTACAAAAAAAGTCCTTTATTTCATTTGGATTCCAGTAAAGAACAGTTCCGGTATTTAGCTGTATAATGACATTACTGAAATTCCCTGGATGCTGTAAGAGTGATTCGCCAAGCCATTTAATGCACAGGGCTGAACATGACCTCCGTGACAAAACTGTTGTAAAGTGCACTGCTGAATTAAGCAACAAAGGGGAAAAAAACGCAGACTATCCATCTACTGAAAAACAGAGCAGTCTGACATCTAGTACAAAAATAAATGCTAAATACTTAGAGCGCCCGAGCACAAAAATATTATTTCACAGATAGGAACAGGAAATGATTACTGTTTTTAGCAGGGCCAACTATTAGTACCACCCACATCATGACATTCAGTTTGGACAGCGCGTTTTGATACTTTATTTCTTGTCATATCGTGTCGTCTTTACTTCCTCCCCCCCCAAACCCACATCCTTCTTTAGACAGTTATTCTCATATACAAACATTATGAAGACTTCAACTTACTTGCTAAAGTATCTATACACGTGTATATATATATATAAAGGGGGGACAGAATGGACTGAAAACACGTCGGGAGTTTTCATATACAAAAATAGCGAAGGGCATCTGATTGAACATTTTTGTAGAGAACTTTACGTGCGACCTTTCTGCAGCATTGAACAAGATTAAAGTCATATGCAAACACACCAAAAATATAGTAGGAATGGTTCATCCAACACTTAAAAGTACATTCCTTCTCTTTTACTGATGCTAAGATTAGTTTACTTTTTGTCGTATAGCACCACTGTAAAGATCTCAATTATAGCCTCTTTTGCAACCTCTGCAGTTATTAGTGTAATTTAAAGACACAGTACACCAACAAATGAACATTTGGTGTTCATTTACTCACTCATTGTCTATCTGAGGTGTAGATTACTTGTTTTTTTATAGAGTAAAAAATTTGTCAATCATTTATAAAATGAAAATGTAATGCTAACAGCATTTTAAAAGTCAAAACATTTATATACAGGCAACACTAAATTAATACCCATAGATCTTAATGATAGATTGAAGTCTTACGTAGCAAGTAACGTTGTAAAAACTCAGTTTCTTGCACAGACCAGTTGTTTAATGTATTATTAAGAGTAATAGGCATTAATTCTGCTTTGTCTGCAGGAATATGTTTTCTGTGACATTTCCAAAGAATCACTTTTTTGTGAGTAAATCAACTGCAAAATGTAATTTTTGAGTGAACTATCCCTTTAACAATCACTTCTGCATGATGAAAACTACATTTTCCTATTGGCTGATTGCTTTAAACTATGCACCGGAGCAATGCTTTGTTCAAAAGCATAGTAATTACTCACTTTTCATTAATAATCTGTATGCCGGTTGTGTCTAGATCAGTAAACACACTAATAAAAACAATAAAATGAGGAAAAAGGTGCTACTTTACGACAGGAAGACCATTTAACAAGAAAAAATGACACATCTAGCTGGTATTTGCATCGAACCACTAATCAGTTGCTGGTGAATTTCGCCTTATTTGTGTGTTGAACGTGAACTTCTATACAAAAGCAGTATAAAAACATCAGTTCCGGAATAAGAAAGATGCTTCGTATGGACGTCTGATCTTCATCAGATCAAAATTTAGCAGGGAAAAGTTCATTTGCAGCCAGCCACTTTGGGGTTGGAGTAAATATACACATATAAAAAAGCTTTATATACACACAGAATCAGCTTATAATACATATGGATCTGACACAGAGCCACTCTTTCTTTTTTTTTCTCCTTTCAAAAAAAAAAAAAAAGAAAGTCTTTTCAGTACACTATGCTCATATTACGGTGAGTTTGGAGGTCAAAGGTTGGCAACGGGAACGTCAAAAAGGTCACAAAGGCCCTCCGTTTCATCCAGGTTATAGATGTAGTCATGGTCACCCGGAGGAGGGGAAAGACGGAGGAGCGGAGAGAAAACTACGAAAAAAAAAGAGAGGAGTGATATTGTGGCTAGGCTTGAAACCGTTGCTCGCTTTTCATCTAGCTTTATTGGTTATGATATAATACAATAGTGTTCGCATGACATTGTTTGCCATGTACACAATCATTGCAACTTTTATTTCTGGTTTAGTAATAGAGCATGTACAGAAGGCCTGACTTATGATCGGGTTTACCTTCTGATGACATCAGCTCCTCCAGCAAATCTGTACTCATTATTTCTGAGGAGGAAGGAGGAAATATGTGAGAAATATGAAAGTGATTCTTTCTTGCGTCACCTATGTGTTTCAGTCACGCACATTAGCAGTAGATGATTATGATAAACGTGAGAAGGAAGAGAGAAAGTCAACTTTAAACTGCTTCTCACCTTTAGGGTCAAACATTTCTGAAAGTTCTTTGGGGAAGTCTAGCACTGAAGAAAAAAGCAAAGTGAAACAGAAAACCAAGTTAGAATCGATTTTAAAAATATATAAAATGACAGAAACGAGGAAAATCAAGCAAATATAACAATTCAGATTAGAGTTTACTTTTTGTTTTGACAGAATTGTTTTTGAATTTACAGGCACTTACAATCTGAAGGGTCAGTTTTGATTGGTTCAAAAAGCGTTGAGGAATCAGGAAGTGAAGAGCTGTCCAATGAAGCGGATGACTGCAGCTGCTGGGTGTCTGTTGAAGGTGTTGGATTGGCTGTTGTATCTGGGGTGGAGGTGCTTGAAATGTCTGCAAACCCAGAGTCAAATTAAATTGAATAGAATTAGTGAATACATATATTAACGTTAAAATTCAAGAAATTATGCATCGTTTAACATTATAATTAAATTTATTATTAAATGTACAATTACATTACAATTATGATTGTTTCATGATTGTAAATTGTAATAACATTTTTGGAACTCTTACATGAGCATGACTCAAGCATAACTAGTTTTATTCTGTATTTTTTTATATAAAATTTTAGACAATACCAACGTTACACTTTAGAAGAGTTAAAACTATTCTTCAACATTTTTTTATAGATCAGAATTAATATTTTTGCTATATAAAACTAACAAAAACTAATTTTACACTAAAACAATTGTTTTTCCAGTTCGATTTATGATAAATATTATAATCTTTCCTGGAAAGACTTAAAAAATATATATCAAAGTGCTCTCAGTATAAAATTTTTGTCTAGTATAAATTTTTCACATTTTAACTGTTTACACTGAAGACGAAGAGTTAGTCAAAGGTCACTCTATCAACAATGCTGTCTGCCTTCAGCTCCGGCGGCAAGAGCGTCAAAATTCAGTACATTAAACTTGTATTTAAAGGAGCCATTGCCGCAGATGAGCAAATCAGTTACATTCCTGCTTAAAACATGCTTTCTAGCGTGTTTGCTAAATATTGCAAACTTTTTATCAAATTAATTTAGCAATGGAAAATCAAGTTGCATGTGGCGAGTATTTTGCACCACTTAAATATCCAATATGTGTCCATATTTCTGAAATATTCTAAAGCAGCAATACTGTTTTGTATTGTCACATGAGATTCTCGCTTTTTTAAATGAAAAAAAAAAAAAAAACATTTAAGCACATCAGTAACTCGCCAGTAACTTTTTAAAATCTATGTTCCTGTGAGAAAACATTTTAAATAATTGGAAATCCGGCGATCGCAATAACCGAACCCTTGGGAACAACTGTGCACAGTTACTGTGGCCTCTGGACATTATTACCATAAAATTAACTTGATTTCAACTCTCCTCAATGCCCACACAGGCGAAGACATGCTGTGCTGCTCCTACTCACTTATCGCCACCGACTCAGATTGAAAATGAGTAACTGCTTTGACGCTCTCGACGTTTCCAGTGTGAACGTACAGTAATTAAACATTGAGAGGCTTAACAGGGGTTACAAGTTGGTGGAGCATCATTGTCCAATTGATATGATGAGTTTGTATATTTACTAATTATAAGTTTAATTTTGGAGGGAGGAATTAAACATTCTATCACTCTTTTATGCTGCCTCATCTATTATTCACATTACAATGTAAATTTTAATGAATTACTGAAAGTGAATGAAATTTTAAAAGGTTATTATCACTTCTTTACCGATGTTTAATTTGCATGTTCTCTCAACTTTATTCTCCCAGTTCTTTAAATGGAATGATGCATATACAGTGGCCAGGTCATTATGTGATACTGGTGGATGAAAACGTTTCCTGACTCGCTCCTCCAAAAACGCCCTAAACTTACTCAATAATATTTCGTTCTGGTGACTGTGCAGGCCATAGGGATTGTTCAACTTTCTTATCATGTTTAATGTCACCATTTTAGCTGTGTGTATTAGTGTATTATCATCCTGGTACATGGCACAGCCTTCAAGATACAATGTTTGAAATATTGGGTGCACATGGTCCTCCAGAATGGTTCCGTAGTCCTTGGCAGTGACGCGCACATCTAGCACAAGTATTGAGACAAGGGAATGCCATGATATTGCACCCAAAACCATCACTCATCTACCACATGCTTCACTCCAGGCATGCAATAATCTGGGTGTACACTTCTTTGGGGCTTCTCCACACCGTAACTCTCCCAGATTGGGGAAAGACTGTGAAGGTGGACTCAAGAGATCATTACATGTTTCAAATTGACCACAGCCCAAAATTTTCATTGCTGGCACCATTGAAACCGATGTTTGGCATTGGCACAAGTGACTAAAGGTTTGGATACAGCAGCTCGGCCATGACCCTGTGGAGCTTCCAACGGTTTTGGTGGAAACAGGAAAGTTGAGGTGCAATTCTGCAGTGAATTGGGCAGCTGTGGTTTTATGTTTGTTGGACACAATCTTGTGTGCATTGCAATATTTTAAGCAAAACTGTGCTATTACTTTAATTAAACCTTCAAACTCTGCTCTTACTGGTGGAATGTGCAATTCATAAAGATTGGCCACTAGGATGGTCAAATTTATTCATGAAACCTCCAAAACTAAATTGGCCAGTGTTTCAGTTTCATTGTCAAACCCCTCTAAATGTGGGTTTTATATGTATTATAAAATACACTGCAGATATATATATATAT